TGATGGTACCGAGTGTGACATCACTGCCCAAACCAATTTGCCTAAGTACAAAGAGTTTCGCTTCAATTGTTTTCCGTTATGAAGGGTATCGCGAAATGACGAACCCATATTCATTGGCTCCCCAACCCAATACGCGACCGTCAGGGTTGCGAACAAAGCTACTGCGACCTCCAGCGGCAATCTGCGCAATTTCAACCCCTCGAAGTGCTGGTATTTCAAACAAATTAGTGCAGAACCGGATATTTTTGTCGTCAATCTTCGTAAGATTATCGTCGTCCTCTGTAGACGATGAAACGCGAGCAGACCGAGAGCTGTTGGCATAAGGGTCGGTAAGAGACTTGGGGATAAGGTCCACATGTAAATGTGAATTGTTTGCAGAAACGGGGTTGGAAATAGAGAATTTACGGAATCCCAGCTGCCCATATTCATTGGCCTTCTTGTTTATGGGGTGTGCAAAGACACGACCTTTGGATGTCAGCGCCAGCAGGTGGTTCTTGCCAGCAGCAATTGAAACAATGCTAAAACGGATGTAAATAGTCAGTATTGCGAAGACGGTTGGTAAGGGTGATTTGTGTGAAGCACTTACGATTCTCGCCATCCAAAAGGTTCAGCTGGTGAAATTTCAGCGAAGTCAACTGTTCCATCCTCGCCCCATTTCCATCCAGTACTCCACCAAGAGTCGCTGGCAGGGGTAGGAGCTCCAGCGCTCAGTTCTTGCTTCAAAACGTCTGTGGCAAGTACATAAAGCTTTCCGGAGGCAGAAAGCGCATATAGCTTGTCATCTGTTAGTTGCAATTGCACGATGTTCTGACGACGGTGGTAAAGTTAATATACATACGTCCCACAATCATTATTGAAATTAGCTAACCTTGCCTTTCAAAGTGATTTTTGGGGTGTGAACGCCCTTCAAAGACTTGCCGAAGAATCCTTCACCCCATTGATACACGTCTCCTCTAGCATCGACGCATGCTGCGTGGGTTTGTTCTAGTTTCAAATCGCGGAGCGCGATACCATTCAACCACTCGGCAATAGTAGGAGTGTGAAGTGAATCATCACCCAGAAAATTTGGGCCCAACGTTTTATTACTATGACGGAACAGTTAGTATATATTCGGGTCATTGAGACACAATTGAGTCCACGTACGCATTAGATCCCCATACCAAAGAATAGATAGGATCGGAGTCGCTCGGTTTATTGGGAAGATCAAGTTTGGGCTGTTCTTTCTCGGCAACGTCGTTATGAATAGGCTGCGAGGTCGAGTACCACAATGCCGCTCCGACAGCTAAAGCGGACGCAGCAGCAATTGCTCTGCCATTTCGTCGCGGTGACTGAAATGTATAGGCAGATGATGGGTGTGTATGGACCTGCCGCAGACGTAGATTTCGAGTCAAGGTCGATCCTGCTCGCTTGAACATTATTTGAGATTATACGATTAGACCAGCATAGAATGAGGATACGGGTGTAAGAGGAGGCTCGGGCACTGGCAGGACAGAATTAAATTAGCGCAGGGCGAGGCCTTGACCGGAAATGATTTAAGTGGTTGTGTCCGTGCCGATAGGTGCCGGTGCAGCGTGACCGTGACTTTGTTTGACATCATGTGATCGCACAGCGCGCACGGCGCACGCCGCAGATATTCCAGTGGCAGAAGGACGTTCCAATCTGTTCCAATGTTATGGTCGGCGGCTAGATTGAGAACTGGGTATCCAAAACTAGATGGTGAGTATCATTCAAGTAATTTTTTTTTTGCCTAAGAATGCTGCAAGGGGGGCAACTGGTACCATTCACTTGGTACACGAGTTATGAAATAGACTGATGTGCGAAAAGCAGCAATTTTCGCAAGTCACTTTGCCGGAGTGGTTAACGGGATCGCCTGCTATTTATAGCAACCAGCGGTTGGTCTTTGACCGCGAGTGTTCGAATCGCTCAGGTGACGATTTTTTGTCTTTGAGTCTGAGAATGATTCGGTGCTTCCCCGACTGATGAGTGGCCGCCCCGTCGACGTAAATTTTGTAACGGCTCTTCTGCCATGACTGCGCTCACATTCTTTTTTTTTTGCGGCTTTGTTGGGCATATGTTCAAGCTTTGAAGCCCTCCTATAGAAGTTTTGCCTCGTCATGGCTCCATTGACAACTTCGCTCCAGCGCATACTTATTTTCATATTCAGGAGCTTTCTGGAGTTTCCTGCTTCATGCGTCGATGCTTTGGCCTTGACCGACCTGCATGACTTGTCTTGGTACCATTTAGGACTAAGCGACCTTGTGACTGTGCTGCCATGTATGACATTCTTCATGGCTGACTAGCTTTGAATGTTTCGAGTTCACCTGGGCTGCCTCTCAGTATGTCAACCTCCTGGTTGAAATACTTGGTTCGCACTAAACAGTGCAGTCCTCCCCACCTCCCCGTCTGGCACACTTACATTGGCGCCCACTGAGCCCACTGAGGCCTCGGGGCGACCATTCATCATAATGTCGTTCATGTTTGAGGTCATACGGCTCTCCTTGGGGATTGTTTCTCGATTGGTCGGTATTACAGTGGTCAATGTCTGCATTCCGAGAGTACCGCCGCGCAATTGGGACAACAAAGTCAGATCTGTGATTCGCGTTTCGAGAGAAACAAAGGGCATTTCTGCCTTTTTGCTTCGTCCCATTATGGGTGAGTCCATAAGTCCAGATGCGACGGGACATGCTCAAGCTTGTTTTCTTTCGAAGGTTCTACCACGGTTATAGACGACTATGTAGACCTTGGCCCTTTGCTCAATTCCCAAACTACAGAAACGATTCTCCTCAGCGATGTTCCTGCTCTGATCGAGATTCCCAACGATCTCATTGGGGATATTCCGGATATTAGAGTTCATCTCCCTAGGTTGGAGGATAGCGGTACAACTCCATTCGACACATCGACAGTAAACGTTGACTTCTCTATTTACTCTGTAAGATTTTTCGACTTGCTCGGACTAGATCGTCTCCCAAATTAAACCTCGTACAGGACGCATCTTCTCCTCGTCTGAACAAGGCCGGGTTCATCACACCTCCACGATCTAATCTCATATCGGCCAGTGAGTTTCAGCTGAGCGTGCTGAAGGCAGCAAGTGAGCGCGTCAGCGAAATCCTCCGTGAAAACCGACGACGCCTTGATGCTGGAGAAGACCCGAATGCAATTCGAAGTTTGTCCCTGCCTGCAGAAGATGTTTCAATATTAATGTATTTCGTAGAAGAGGCTCGACGGCAGCGCGCACAAGAATTATTAGCCGCACGGAATAATAGAGACAGCCTGTCCTCATAGGCGTCCTCAAACGCAAGTTTTTTTTCTTTCGGTTATCTCTTCTGGGCTCGTTTGCTCTTCGTTGCATCTTTACCGTAGTTTATACATCCAACCAATTTCTCAATGCTCTTCCATTCATTCCATTCGTTCCCCTTCGTAGTGACCTAATGAAATGCGTTACCATCCTCATCCATTTGACATTTCGAGGCAGAAGGAACACTGGCTATCCGCTTCTGCACTTCTGCAGCCCGCTGATTCGATCCGCAATGATAGGATTCTATGTAAGTACGATGTTCCAATCTCTCTTCAGTTCTGGAAAGGCTGATAATTTATGGCAATTTATTTAAATTTATAGCATCGATTGGTTCCATTTGTTCACCTACAACTGCACATATGATACCCACACGACAGTATCTCTGTACCACGACCTCGCATATCTTTCAGTCTGTCGTTACTACTCTGTAGCAAACTCAAGCAATGTTTTCTTGTTGGCCAAATCTTTGAAACTTTGGATATAACTCTAGTATTGTTCTTACTAGTATGTGTCCTCATGATTCCTTCACCAATTTGCTCCTTCAGGTACTGACTACTCTCGATATGCTTGAGGATGTTTACGTCTTTATATGCGTGTAATTATGACCAATGGCACATTCTACATCTCTTGTCCAGACGGCGACCCCGCGACTGCATATTGAATGACTGGGTCAGACATGCCATAGTGATTGTCTGCATGTTGAATGACTTGAAAAGCACCTCTGTGACCTATAGCTGTCCTGCCACTGCCCTGCTCGTACTCCAACTTCTTTGATTCATAGGCAATCTCGGCTGCTCTGATTTCGGCCTGAGCGCGAAGCAAATCCGTTTGAGAGCGCTTTGAGGCTTCTTCCTCTACTCTGCGTTTCGTCAGCTGCTCTCCTTGGATGCGTTTCGTGAGTTCTTCCTCTTGGGTGCGTTTCGTGAATTCTTCCTCTTGAATTCGTTTCGTAAGCTCTTGTTCAACTTCTAGGGTTCGTTTCGTAAGCTCTTGTTCGATTTCTAGTTTGACTTGCGTGGTCTCTAATTCAATCTTCAGACGTGCAGTCTGCTCCTTGGACTCTTCCAATGCGATATTTTCGCGGATGATGGAGCATTGAAGAACCATGCTCGAAACCTCTTTGATATCGGCAATTGGGGGGAGCCTAATTAGCGCATATACCCAATGTTAATGACTGGGTGAATGTAGATTGCAGATATTACGGTATAGAAGGCTCTGGGGCAGTGCTAGTCCTTGAGTTTCGATGAGTATTAGAAGTAATATCCATGATATTTGAGCATATACCGGGCCTTGTCTTTACCCTTGGGCCCGCTGCCAACAGCCCTCCTTTTTATTCCGGATGGCTTCGCTTTCTTTACGGCTGGGCCATCTTCAGACATCCTGTCGTCACTGCTGATACTATAGGCCGTAGCGAAAGACATCACAAGTGTTGGAGACTGGAGTGGATGGGAGTGGCTTGTATTGGGCAAGAGGAAAGAGACGATCCGTAACATTCACCGTCGCGCAATGTGCTATAATTGAATCATGTGATACAAATAAACTTGCACGTGTGCATATTCCAAGTTCAAGACTAGTAGTAGTAGTACTAGTAGAGTTGCCGCATAGTTCCAATACAACATCGACGATCGTGTTATCAGAGAGCTTACGTTGTGATTGTCCTTTATTCATCACCAAAATAATCGTTCTAAAATTGCATAAAAACATTCTGCCCCAGAGAGGCTCGAACTCTCGACCTTCCGATTACGTAAGCGTGATTACCTAACAGTCGGACGCTGTAACCAACTCAGCCATGGGGCACATGTTAAGCTTCACCTTTAATACCTAAATACAGTCAAAAGCTAATCGGCGATGCGGTATCCTGCGGTAATACAGTAGCCTGCGGTATCACTGCGATATCCGTACCCCATGAGCGGCAGCGGGTACAATTCCACCTCATACATACTTAGGTAAGATAACATAGAAAAACTCGGCGTTGCAGTTAACATTGTGCTCAATTTCTTGTCCAATGCATTGCCAATGCAGCCAGATTCAGATGCAGGTTGTTGAACTATGAACATCTGACAAAATGGTAGAGCAGAGTCACGTATGCCTCAGCTGGAAAATGAGCATGTTTCAAAGAGTAAAAAAGATGATGAATTGCGTAAGAAAGTAATGATAGGAGGAGCGATGCAATAGGAGGAGCGGTAGACATTGTCTGAATCTCTGACTGCAAGTGCTCAGCGCTCCGTGACTGCTAGCGGCTAGCGCAGCTGCAATACGCTACTATAAATTGCTATTATAAGTTTTAGGAAGAGCATAGTTACGCATGGATCTCCCTCAGTTTATCGAGGCTTAGCCTGATCCCATGCTGACAACGAATGTACTACGACCACCCCGCGGGAGATCAAAACCTTCTCTGCACCGCGTTCTTGATAAGTTTCGATGCCAGGTATGGCCATAGAGCCCATAGTAATGGTCCCAGCCATAGGGAGTGCAGTCACAGTGACTTTAGGGAGAGAGAACTCCCCGTGATGTAGTGGTATTAACGTGATGGGTATGGTGTATGTTTCTCCATCCTGATACAACGATTTCAGCAGTCGAAATATTGAAAGTAAAGGACGCATGCTTACTTTGGCGACGAAATCTCCTCTTTTGGGACCGCTAACTACCATTCGCGCACCATCTCCTCGATGTTGAAGCGCAAAAGGTATTGGTTGTCTTTATGGCCAGAGCTCGTGCCCCAATGGAAGGTTGTATATATCGATAAATTGGCAGATATAGGTTGACCAGCATATAGCGGCGGTAATTCATGGGACGGTGTTTCCTTTGCAAATGGTGTAGAAATAATGCGAATAGAAGTAGCCGCGACAATCTAATGGAAATTAGGTTACGTCGCCTAAAAGCAAGAGTAACTCACATTCATGAATGGCACATCTACGGGTATCTGATCTCTCGCCACTTGCCTTTGGGAGGATCGGAGTGTCTATGATCGGCTAATCGCTGTCACAGGATTAATCATATTCAAGAAAAGAGCTAAGCTCGTCATACCTTTCTGGCTTCCTTGAGAAGATCACTGAGCTCGCCATCTTCTTTGGGGACGGAGGAACAACAAGCTCCCCTGTGATCCCATACATTTCCACCCAGGCCGCATCACTTTCCAAGGCATCAATGAGTTTGCTGACGAGAACGGTCCTCGCATGTGTCTTGGAAGGGAACTCTTCCAACATTTCCCGAACTGTACCCTGCACTATTGACTCTACCTCTGCGATAGAATAAGCTTCTGAGATGTCAATTGAGGGAGTCGAATTAATTTACCTTCACGGAGCATTCTATATTTAATACACAGTGTAAGCGATTCTCGCACTGAGAATTACAGAACATGAATATTGAATGGAACAATTTCAACTATAAACTTACCTGGTCCATTGGCGGAATCAAGGGAAAACAAAAAGTTTGCAGGTTGGATTGGTGTCACTGTCTGTTATACCATAAATTTGGTGAATGTAGCGTAATGAAAGCGTCGACTTACCACTATACGCCTCTTGTTGGACGAAGGCTTAATATTGACACCGTCTAAGCCTCCTGGAGGTGGCTCGAGGTTGGCGTTCGCAATCCGCACGTGTTGATGACTTGTCGTTGAAACAGTGAATTTGGAGATTAACCTATAAACATATAGATTCGGGATTAACAAAACGTCTATAACGAAAAAAAAAGTACAATTACCTTGTCCCTCGGAAAAAGTCCTCGACGTTGACCGATATTGGTAAAGTGGTGATCAACACTCTTGTGAAATATGACGTCCGTACGATTGCAGGCTCGTCTTCTGTAGCATATTCTACTTCAATTTTGACTTTCTAGTGTGGATACGCTTTAAATTAGTATGCGAGTCATGTACAAGGCACATACCAATGCAGTAAGCGCTGAAGCATCGGAATGGGGGACGAGAAAAGTCACATCTGTATCTTCTTCTACGTCTTCTATCTGTATTCCGTCTGTGTTAGCAACGAACGACTCGTCATCTTCATCTATCAGAACTGTATTAATTTCGGGAATGAACAGATTTGCAAACATATACCTGCTAATAGGACGGTATCTCGAGTATAGAAGGTAATGGAGGGTGAGGTGAGTTTGATGGAGATTTTATCAAGATTGTTTCGTCCGGTTGACAGAACAACCATTAAAGACTGCGGCTTTCCAAGTTCGACTGAGAAATGATCAGTGTGGTGTCGGCAGTCGTCGGTGTATAACTTACTTCGGTTTGACTGCGATATTCGAACATCAAGAGCAAGTGGATCATGGGGAACGCGGACTAGCAATGGGGATGGTGAAGAAGGCCCCTTATTCGTTTTTCGATAGTTTGTTTGCAATAATAGATGGGTGGAGCGAACTTCGCTTGTTTCGAGAAGGAATGTGCCGGATGCATGTGTCTTAAAACACAATGAGCCAAGAATAGGATTTAGAAGTACAACACATACCGAGCAAAATAAGGTATAAGTGGATTTCCCTGGTGGGCATCCGTTCGGAATAGTTGCCACAAATCGAAACTTGTCCAACTCGCGCCCTGATACAGTAACACTGACTTCATCAATTGGGAATACCTGAAAAATAGGAATCGTAAAGAATTAAACCAATTTATAATGGCAGCAGCACAACGGACTTACACATGGAAGGTGGTTGGTTACATCTACATCGAGATATGAACCATCTCGTGTTTCAGCCAGCTTCGCATTCCTCGACACCCGAATGGTGATAATGGGATGATCAGGGTGCGCCAGATCTATGACAATCAACATCAGTTCAATATGGGAAGTACAGGGAACTAACCAGTGTCCAACCGTTCTACTGCAGCTCTAAGTGAGCTGACTAGACTTGTAACGTAATCAACCCTATCAACGCCATCTAGCATATCGAAATTGTGTTCGACGTAGGTTTTCAAGAATGAAAGAACGATATGAATCCATTCGACGTCTTGTGCTCTATCAAGTTTAGAATATGTTTCCAGAGCGCGAGAGAGCATAAAGGATTCTAAAGAGGTCCACATATGAGGTGCGTAATGAGCCGGTAATGAGGTATATGTAGTAAGAGCTGCTGATAGATTTCCACGATGCCTAAATTTTGTTGTCAGTCAATACGGATAGAATGTATTTCGAGACATACAATTCCAAGGCTGCCAAGTTGCCGTGCAGCTTCAAAGCAAACTTTCGCCGCCCGGATTTTGCGTACAAGTCAATGGCACGATTTGTTACAGCCACATAGAGTTCATAGAATGCTTCTTTTTTGCTTATTGCGGCGTTGAGGATTTCGTTAGAAAAAGACAACTTCGTCCCAGGCGGTATTGAACTAGCCGATGTTCTTGAAGCCGAAAAAGGAGGCATATTAGGCAGATGTCCAACTTCTATACCTAAAATATCCAGCTGCAGTGCCGCAATGATCAGCGATGGTACTCAAGGTACTGCAGATATGAATTTACCTGAGTTCGGGCGAGATCTAAAAGTTCGCCTTTGCCTGCATTAGCAGATGCAGATTTAGATGCTTCGACATTCGAGGATTTTGACCATGCATCGCAGTGCTCGACGGCACTCAATGCTGCAGAATATACCCATGCTTCAACGAATAGTGGAGGAAGATTTGCCTACGAATGTCAATCATTAAGTTAATGTTAAAGAAAAGAAGCTTACTTGAACCTCTCGAAGGCGCTTTGGGAAGGCACCAAGGAAAAATGTGACTTTGGTAGTAATCTCAGCCAAACGACCCATTTTCGCCAGCAGCTGACATTGGCGTGCTAGAAGGTATATCCTGAAATCCAAGATAGAGATGGTATTGTTTAGAATGTGATTTCGATATGGCTTCTTCGTGGTTGAAAGTAAGGGTGATGCATCGTCGCTTAGATCCGGGGACACAAGGGAACCGAACCACGACATATTTTTCTCCGTTGAAACACGATAAAATGAAGCTTCCAGCTCGTCATAAGGAACTAACGCTTCTTCAAAGAGATTCATCCCTTCAAATGAAGAGGCTAAACTTTCCTGTGAGTATGTGAGCGGCAGATTTACCAGACCCCGAAAAACGGTACCTTCAAAATGAAGAACATGCAAAAGTTCCACCCAGGCATTGATTGTTGACTTTCAGACCTTTTCACTTCTTCCTGTCGCTGCTTGATTGCGGAATCGAAAGCGTACAGCAGGCCATCTTTTGTCTTGTTGATAAACTCTGCCCATGCAACGGGGTTGTCATTCCCTGTGACCCAGTTGACTTGTATACACCTAAGAAACACGATGAAGTTTAGAGAGTGTCGTGTAGGAATCCGCTTAATTGCAACCAAACTCACCGATCTCGCTTGTCCGAAATGAAATTGAAGTCCGTCTTCAGTTTATCCAAAACGGAATTCTTAATCTGAAAGAAATTTCCCGTGGCTTGACGCATTGGATCTGGCCTGATAATTTGTAGAATGATCCATTCTGGGTTTTTCCTGGATACGACAACAGAATGCCAGTCCTTGATCTGTTTCTTTAGGACTGTTCGGTATGTCTCGACATCATTATCCTGTTATTCGTGAGCAACCCCTCAGGAATGGTTTCTACAGTGTGCTTACTTCGCAATGGACGATGTATATGTGAAGTAGCGGTTTCTCCAGCAGCGTTCCGGGTACTTGTGAAGTATGCTCATCTCGAAGGGAATCGAATGGCACGAGGGTGACCTGCAGTTCTTGGATCGTTCTGACGGGACCACTGGACGTCCAGTTTATGTTGCGTAGCGGTAGTTGACCAAGAATAGTCGAGTAAACCTTGCTCCAGTTCGGCGACGCGAGAAAGGCAGGA